CATGTCCAAAAGTGTGGCTGCAACAGGGAGATAAAACCTGTAGCACCAGCTTCTACCTCTCCTCAACTATGTGGAGACAGACTACTGGCTTTTACTGTTTAAATATCTGTTCTTGTATGAAAGAAAAAATCAAGTTTGATTCAGAGGCACCCCATGAGTTGATGAGTTCATGTGCCAGCAGTGGGACCATAGAAGCTATGAAGAGTATTCATACTGCCTGAACATGAGTATCTTATGCTGTGGTTGCTCACTCTGCTGTGGCTGCTGGTGAGCATGGTGCCCTCCCTTGTCCTCACTGCCTGTGGTTGTTCCCATGTTGGCATAACTGCTCTTCAACTAGCTCTTTTAGAATTGTCCCTTCAGGAAGTGCCAGGTGGAACACTTTTAATTAATCTGAATTTGGGAACAGTTATGCAGATTGACAAGTTAGTGCATAGTGACAAAGAGCTGGGAATAGGGAGGATAAAACTCAAGTTGCTGCAGATGTGATGCAAGACTGACTTAGTATAGCTGAACGTGTCAGGAGAGTAATTTTTAAGTTGTCGCTGTTATGCTGCTGCAGTGCCTGCAGTTGTGCTGAGTAATTAATTGCTTTTGAACAAGAGTGAACTGTGCTGAGCTTAAGGAGTGTGTGTGGGGGGGCACGACCTACAAAACCATGGAAAAGTGTGCTTTTTGTGAATTTCAGGAACTTGACTTAGTGGAGCAGCCTAGACTTATTGCTCAAGATGGTGGTGGTATGGAGCAGGATTGACAGCCTGGATAAAGGGACTTCTTAAAATCAGCTTTTGCACCAGATACAGTGTTTTTATAGCTACTCCTTTAGCTGATGAAATTGGGAAGCTTTTTCCCATAATGTCGCTGTTTTCAAGGGGAAGATAGCTCCCCCCCCCCCCCCCCCCCCCCCCCGCTGCTCGGCGGGAACATAGCCCCCCCCCCCCCCCGCCCCGGCAGTAGTTTAAGGCACTTCAAGTTACCCTTTTGCTTTCAGTTGCCCTGTAGGAGGCTGTATCTTTATTGTGACAGACCAGCATTCCAGTTTAGGTGCTTCAAGTGCAGTAGCATAAATGTCCTTTTTGCTCCAGTAATCTCTGGAGCAGTAGCTGAATGATGTACTCAAAGCCCTGCATGTTTTTTTTTTTTTTTTCTGGAGCAGGATAAATTAGGAAGAACTGCTGTTGTGTGAAAGAGACTGTAAGTGTCTTTGCTTTGCCTTCTTGAGAAAACAAGAGCTTGTTTAGGCACAGTGAGTTTGACTTCGTTGCTTTGACCATGTCCTCTGAACACCTATTGGTTTTGCAAGTTGTAGAATTTTTACAGATGAAATCTTCAGTTAAGAAGCTGGTCTTGAAGGAGATAAAAAGGTCCTGTGGCAGACATGCAGGTCTCTAGCAGGCTGCTGTATGCAGTTCAGCATGCAACAGTATATGATAAATGGCAGCAGATGTCAGTGACTGGCACTGAGGTGCACAAGGCTGCCCAGATTGATGATATTGTGCTGACACTCACTTTAACACTGTGTTGGTTTAACTGTCTTAAGAATAGACATTGACTCTGTATCTGTGTCTGCCTAATTCCTTGTCCCGTTGAGGATCCTAACATAATATTTAGGGTTAGTTGCTGTGCCTTTTGCTAGACATTTGTACTTGGGGGGGGGGGGGGGGGGGGGAGGGGCGGTGACTGGGGGGGGGGGGGGGAAGGAAAGGCTGTGTAAATTTGTCTTCATTTTCTGTCAGAGAGGTAGATAGCAGTTCACCTGTGTTCAAAGAGGAAAATAAACACAAGCAAACTAGAGCACAGGGCATTATGAATCACAATGGTATTGCTAAATGTTTTAATCTGTCAAAGTCCAATAATTTAATTTTAAAGATTAAAAAGATGAATCAAATCTAATAAATGGAAAATTTCTACAAGAATAGAAATGGACTAGGTGACCTGTGAGATGCCCTTTAACCTCAATTATCCTGATTTTAAATGTATAGTCTTAAATGTTTGTGATCAGTTGTTAGCTTTTTGTTTTCCTTTTTTTTTCTTCCAAAATGAACCAAAGCAAATAGTAGTTTGATATCAAACACTTTTTTTCTTTTCTTTTTTTTTTCTTTTTCTTTAAAAGAACAAAGATTCCAGAAAGCAGAGATAGAAATAACACATCATCAAATCCGATCCCTGCTTGCAACAGTGGAAGCTCTAGCTCAAGTGTAATGACTCAAGATGGAAAGAAGCCTATCAAAAGTAAATGGAATTTACTAAGATCATAAAGCTGTCTATTAATACATGCTTAATGTTATGCTAATATCATTTTAAGTACCTCACAGCTGTAATCCTAACCGGTCTCTTTGTTTTGCTGTTATTGAAGAAATTGCACCAATCATGAAGAAAACTTTGAGAGCATTGAAGAGTAGAGCTGGACGACGGTAAAATGAGGCTACATATTTGAAGTTTGAGTGACTATTTGTGTATCATGCTACAGCTAATGCAAGCAATGTTAATGTAAACATTCTTCACTTTGCCTTAGTCAAAATAGGTACGAAACACTGCAGGGGCAAATGGGTTACAATAAAAACTGAAACATCTGAGTTCATTCATTTGCTGCTTTCTTATTCACAAATGAGGAAAACTGAACTGAAGTAAGGTCAGTACATGATAATGACAAATAAGTTTATGTGGACTTTTATAGATGCTGTTTTTATCAGTTTATGTACACATTTGCATAAGGTTTTCATGGAAGCAGTTAAGCTGTGGGTATATTTTACCAAGGCTAAAGCTAGCTTGTCTTAACAAGACCTCTTTGCAACTGTATTTATCTTTTGCACAAAAGGGTATTAGAAACTTTGTCTTTGTCTCACTAAAGCTTTCCTAAAGAGACTTTTGTATTTTTCTTATGAAAACATTATTTGGCTGGATTTTAGTTTTTCCTCTTCCAGAAACAGAAGACTGATTATAAAACAGTCCTGGAGCTGACCTTCTGACCTTCTGGAACTGGGCTGTGAAGCATCCTCAGGGCACCATGTATTTTTCAAGCCTTTTACTTTACCTAAGGAATGAGCTTTTAAAGGAGAGGTAGAAGACAATGTTTAAATTTAAACTGCCTTTTTCTTTAAAGCAGGATTTAAATACTGCTAGGGTAAATAGGGCAGGCCATGACAGTGAGTTGATGAAAAAAATGTTACTTAGGAGCTCTGTGTAGTTGGGACATTTTTGGTACAATAGTTAAAACCAGACCTGTCATTGTGTGATACCATCTAAAGGCATTAAGCTCTTGCGTGGGAGAGAGTATTTTAGGAACAAGCAGAAGGGAGAGAAACCAAGAATGTCATCAGTTTGATGCTATGGTCATCTTGTAGAACTTATGCAGAACACTTCATTTAAGTTTGGAAATGAGAGAGAACTTGTAATACTCTCCGATCTGCTGCTCTCAGGCTGTCATGAGGCGGCCTAGCTCACAACCTTGAATGAGCCTTGTGTGTTGAACGTGAAAAAGCTATTTGGTCTTGAATAGCTGTCCTTTCAAAAGTTGTGCTGCTGCAGTTTGGGGCTGGTCTGTGAATGGGTTTGCTTTTAGAAATGAGATACTTCTTTGTAGTTGCTTCATCTAAACCAGTTCACTTGCATGAATTGTAAGTCTGCGTTTGCCTTGAAGGCATGGCTTACAAATGGAGGAGCTCTTTCCATAAACTGCACTCAGTAGCTGCAAGTAGGTCTTGTGTTGTACTTCTATAGGATTTGACATCCTAGAATTCCTCCTGAGGCACAGGGTAAGATCATCATGAAACCAGTTGCTGTTTCTTACTCCAGCCATCTCATGTGTGAATTTCCTCACCATCCTATAAATACTCAGGTAGATTACAAAAATACTGCTACTAAAAATGGCTTTTACAGTCAGCTAACATAGTCACCCATACATAACAGACTGTGCAAATGCTCTATTTATAGAGGGATTTTAAGTCAGCAGGTGTGGTACTGTGTTGTGTTTTTTCTCCATGTGTTATAGTTGTGCTACAAAGAATGAAAGATGCGAATGGGGTGTTGACCTGGGAACTCTGTAGGGAGCTTTCTCTGTCTCTGGGATCAAAACAAGCATTAACTAGTAGGAGAGATAATGCAGTGTCTGTCATACATGTGTGACAAATGCTTCTGGGAGGAGCTATTCAAGGCTTAAACCTGGCTGAATGGCCGGAGTACCATACCACCCTTTATCCATTAGTCGGCTCTGGTCATCATCTAGTTGCTCATCAGTTTAATTCAGCTGGAGGATTGTATGAAGTGTGGTGTGAATGGTTCAAGAATTGTTTGGGATTTTTTTTTTTGCTAGATCACTTTTATTTGCTCTGGTTGCTAATGGTATCCTTCTATGTAAGAAAAGACAAAGACATAGCTAAGCCTTCTGTTGGACTCTGGCATTAAGAGAACACAGCTGCAACCATTCAGAGCTGCTATACATGTCAGGAGTATGCCCTTGGGAGATTAAAAAATAAATAGTTGCTTTAACTAGTAGACTTTCACTGTTAATTGAAGTAGAATAACTCTCTTCCCGTCCTTGACACTGATGTCAGAGTTGTGTGGAGGGTAAATTTGACTTCAAGATTGTGACTTTTTTTTCTTCTTGCTTTTTCTCACTTCAAAGGCTGTTGATGTCTCTGGCAGGAGGTATGTAGAGAGTACCCATGGGTTCAGACTGTTTTCCTGACAATTTCTACATTGGAAAATACTGTAGACAAGCAAAATTCTTTACAAGAAAGTAGTTGGTGCTACACACAGTTTTGGCTCGGGTTCTTCTTCCACTTCAGTTATGCTGAGATGTGTTCCTGTGGACTGAATGCCCACCTGAGACTGCATTGTATAAGGGATGTTCTGGAAATGCATCTCCCAGCTCAGTTATAAGGAATCCTGGTTTTGTGGTTTGACACTGCTTCATGGCACAATTCAAAGCATATGTGAAAGTAAATTCAAAGCTTGCTTTATAAGCATACTATTTTAATCTGAAATAGAACACTAATGTAGATGCTTCTGCAGTCTCCTGCCTTCCATCCCTATATGCATTTACTTTGGTAAAGAGGGGTTCTTGCTAGGCCTGTGTGTTCTTGGCATCTGACATACCTAACAATACATGGTATTGGAGTATATTATCATAGGATCAAGTAGGTTGGAAAATATCTTTAAGATCAAGTCCAACACTAAACCATGTCGTGAAGGGCCTCATCTACCTGTTTTCTGAACACTTCAGGGATGGTGATTCCACCACTTCCCTGGGAAGCCTCTTCCAATGCCTGATCACCCTTTCTCAGGTAGTTGCAGAGAGCGATAAGGTCCCCCCTAAGCTTTTTCTTCTCCACACTAAAAAAAACTCCAGTTCCCTCAGCTGTTCCTTATCAGACTTGTGCTCCAGACCCTTCACCAGTTCTGTTGCCATTTTCTGGACCTTCTCCAGCAATTCAATGTCCCTCTTGTAGTCAGGCCCCCAGAACTGAACACTGGATTTGAGGTGTGGTCTTACCAGCACTGGGTACATATTGACCTGAGGCAGATTCCTTTCCTTCTGGAATATAAGGAAAGGCTTTTGGTTGGTTTTGTTACATACTCACCAGGCTGGTTGCCACATCCCTCTTGATACATCCTGTATCTTCCTCTTGTGTTTGACCTGTTCTGTGTTCTAGCTGACTGTCTCTGAGCTCCCTGGAGGAGAGCTGAGCCTGACTTGTGGCAGCTTGGAGAAAACCCTTCTCAAGTAAGTGGCTATTTTCACACAAAAGGCCTTCTCTTGTTAGAAACACACTGCAGCTCCTACTCCTCCTGATGTACCTCTGGAACCTTTCATTACAGCAGCACAATGCTTTTCCTTCTACATGATGAGCAAGTTTGGTGTTCATTTCCAGCAAATTGAATAAGTAATGGGAGAAAAATATGCTCACAAAAGGAAAACCTTGCTGTTGTGGAAAAGACCACAAATGGAGAATATTTCTCTTCTTGAACTGTCCATTTCATGCATAGAAACCACTTGCCACTTCCCGCCAGTGTTTGTTTCATAGCATTCAGGAATGTTTTCCATCCTGTTAGTGATTGAGCTGAAGAAAGCTCAGCCTGACTGCTATTCCACTTAAAGATGTATGATCTTGCCATCTAAACAGTCCCTGTGGCAGGAGGAGAAAACACAGTTTTGAGGTGAAGTATTTGTCCTTAAGATACTCTGCTCAGAGGGCACATGAAATTCCAGGAGCTAAGCCCTTCCTGGGGACCATGTAGGCGTTCAAATGCTAGGTTAAGTCCTGGGCCAAAGCCAGGAAGAGGTTTTGGGTTTGGCATGATCCTGCTGGAATAATTTGGAGACCTCGGTGAACTGCCCTATGCATGCTGTTGCCAGTTGTTGCTGTTCTGATGATCAGTATTTAAGGTGCTGCCAAAGCAAGGCACAACTGGGGTCGCTGTCAGCAGGGTGGCTGCTACAGCTCTGAGCCTGGTGCTGTTTGCTGTCTAGTACCTGGGGATTTCTGGTAGTCATAGGGTAATCTCAGCAGTGGGGAAAGAAATCCCTTCACACAGTGTGAATCCCAGACTTGCCATCTGTGGATGGCAAATCCTGGCCTGTGTGTGCCAGGATTTAAAAAATGTTGATGGGTTGATGAGTAAGAAGATTCCTAGACGTACTGCTTTTGGAGGGGGAAAAAACCCATACAAAACACCACCCAACAAAAACCAGAGCAACTGGTGAGGGTTGCCTGATCCTTTTATTTGTATTATTTTCCTTCTCTACCCTTTCTGTAATGATAGGAGAGGTCTTTGAGTGGGTGATTCAAGACTTTGGTTAGCCTACTGTCTGCCCTTGTAGCCATCCAGACACTGAACAGAGGTTTTCCTTCTCCCACAGACCTGCGAAAGGCAGTGTCCACAGCAGAATTTATCAAGATCCTTTTCCTGCAGTTGTAAGTAGTTATTGCCACCAGACAAACAAGTCTAGTTCTCTCCAGATTTGAAATGTCTGCTTGTGGCAGACCATCCTACCAGGAAAGGGAGGAAGGAGGGAGTATCTTGAAGTAGTTTGCTCTCCTGGTTCACTATCTTTGGAGAAATGGCTTTTCATATTTCTTTACAGGCTGAACATACTGTGGGTTTTTTTTTCTTTTCCTTTTTTAGCAATTCCCATAAGAGCAATTCTTCCCTGCAGCTCCCAAAACACTTCCCTTCTAATCTGATGAATCAGTGTGGGGTGGGGTGGGGGGGAAGGAGGGAAGAAGGGTGATGTGTCCTCATGACCTCATGATCCATCAGATTTGATCCACTGTAGGGGCTGGGTTCAGCATTCCTTGGTGGGATCACTTGCTTCTGGTTTTCAGTGGGTTTCTGTTTGGGTACTATTGTTTAGCACTGAAACTCTCCAGGAAAGTGGTAAAATTGCTCAGTGCAGTTGTGCTGCTTGACATGGG